ACTGAAGTGCCTCTCGTGGCTGCGTGAAGCTGATGGTGGAATTAAGGGTGTGGCTGCCTCACACAATAGGACAGTGTCCCATCATAAGCAGCTTTAGCCAATCGCTCTGCCTCACTTTGGTTAATGTGACTCAGTGAAGTGGAGTCTTCACTGTTCAATTTTAGTGAGTAATGTTCTACATTTTGATGCATGCTCAGCCAGTCAGATAAAGCAATCCCAGAAAGTTGAATCTGTTCATCTGGACACGGCGTCAGAAAACATTACGTCCAGATGAACAGAATTAACTTTCTGGGACTGGTGTTTTATCATATTTGTAGGTGACCTTCTACTAGTAATAAGATTTTTGGGTGTGTGTTTCTGTCTACAGTTTGTAGATGTAGCTTCCCTGCTAGTGTGAGCAAAAAACATTCAAAAAGGAATAAAAGAGAAAACATATTTGATACAGCGGTTGCCAAAACCCTTAGAATTCAGGTTCAAAATGCAGAGTCCTAACTCACAGAGTAAAGTTAGTCTTTGTTTTTATTTTCCTCTGGAAGTTTCTACATTTCTACCACCATCTTTGCTCTCCAAGAGCCACGCCTCACTCTTCTAATGTTTCTGGTTTTGGTTTAGTAGTGAAATCAACTAAGGGAATAATGAGTCCAGAATTCTATTAATGCTAACCATAACCTAATTGAAAGTTAATTGAGAATAATTCTTCTTCAGCACATATTTAACCAATCATTTTTACAATTCTGCTGTAAAATTAGAACTTGAAAAATGACGTTTTGACTTTTCTTAAGCCATTTGTACACAGCGGTTCTGCAGGCTCTAACCTGCTGGATCTTGAAAACAAAACAAAACACAAACACACACACAAAGTATGCATGTTAGTACTAATATGTGAAGGACAAATTTGTGTTATCTGAATGCAGCTTTACAGATCCTCTTACAAAGTAAATACAATAAGCATGTATGGAGGCTAGGTGGAAAAATAAAAGGCAAATCTATTTTTTCACCTGCTGATCCATCTTATCATCACTTTTTAATACAGTTGCATCCATAGAGCACACATCTCTTTTTAGGGCATGTTTTATTGTGAGAATTTTGTGTCAAATTATGTACACTAGAGAGAGTCAATATGCAGGACAGAGGATCAAAGGATAAACATAGCAGTCTAACATAAACTGTATCCTAGTATAAAGTCCGTGCGATGTTAGATTGCACTGATATGAGAAGAGATCGGCTAAAACTCCTAAGCGTTCATTGCTATCGACTGTGCTGTTTCCTGTAGTTACCTCTTCTAAACCACTGCATTCCATTAATGTGAATACATTTGCTGTGTGCTACACATGAGCTGTGGAAAATATTCTGACCTGATTTTACCATAATTATCCCATTTAGTTTTCCAAGGAGCCCAGCACACCCGAGAAATCATTATAACACAAAGAAAGTAGAAAAGATTAACTATTAACCTCTCGCTTTCATCCCAGCTTCTCTCGGGAATAGTTGGCAGACCGGGCACACTGAAGTGACTAGTTTGGAGATTCTGAGCCGTCCTCCTTGACACGATCCAAACAAGCTTTTTGTTGTCTGGTTTGTTGCATTCGCTCGAGCGGTACTCCACCATGCACTTGGCCACATGTTCCTTCCAGTGGAGTAGCTCACTGTCACTGATCTGAAGAGAAGAAGAAAAACAGGAAACATCTGAGAGGTTACAAACAGGAATGGCCTTAAAATATGTATTTTTTAACAGTTTTCCCATGCACTCTACATGCATTTGGCCAGGCAACAATAAGTAATTTTACACATTTTACAGTCTCCGCGGGATTACACCGGCCAAACTGCAAACAAGTTTTCTGAACACAATTATCTTTAAAAATATAACAGGCTACGTTTACACACCAGATACAGGTGCTTCATCTGGGGGAGTAACATTTACTCTTGACTTTTGTTTATAGGTTAGACTTTTAGGTTAGACTGGATTTTTAAGGGTTTTAAAAGCATATTAGTGGTCACCATGTCTTTCTAAGGGAGAGACTTTGCTGCTTGTAAATTTTTCAGTTTTAATAAAAATCAGACTTGTTTTGCAGTCATGTCTGGTCGCACCGTTTCTGTTTGGACTTTCATGTTGAGTGGGGTGAGACAGCTCCTCCAAACACAGGGATAGGTGAAACAAAGACAACATGTTTTTGGCTGGAGACAGAAAAGTTGGTGCCAAACGAGTTGGAAGAAAAAGTCTAAATATAAATAGCTTCAAATTCTCATTTCACAGCTGTGATAAGACTACAGTGAAACCGCCAAAACATTAGAAACCACAACATCAGGGATGTGGAAGCTCATCTGGCTCCATCACAATTCCCGAGTTGCTTCCCATTGAAAGAAAAAGAAAGAAAGAAAAGAATTAAAAATGTGACCTTGACCTTGGGCAAAAGTTGGGTGAAGACGCATTAGGTGATAATTATGTGCAATCCTGATTAAATAATGACCAATATTGTAGCAGGAGTCGCAATTCTTGTGAACTGTGGACAGATGCATGGATGGATGACGGACTCCTGACTCATAAGTACATTAAACCTTCAGCTCGATGAGCTAAAATATCATCAAACAAAATTTTTCTTGTGAAAAGTACACTATAAAAACTAAAAACTAATATGATAATACCCTGATAATACCCTTGTTACTAATATATTATGATGGAATAATACTGACTGTTTGAGAGAGGATTTAGCTGCCGCACCCTATTCTCTTCATACCTTTACATGTCTTTGGAACTGCTGGACAGTCTTCAACAACATGACTGACTGGGGGGCTTCAAATTCCTGAGCAATGAGGGCCAGCGCCAGCACGGATGGCTGTGAAGAAGAACAGATTAATTAGTCCTGATACTCCAAACTAATGCTGCTATGCTGTAAAAGTGTCACCTTGCTTACTTTTGCTTTAGAGAAAACAAGCCGGCATAAGCAGGCTTTTAGCTGGGCTTCCAGTCTCCCAATGCTTGGGATCTCCTCCCTTAAAATATAGAGGGAATCCTAATGTGATCTGCTAGTACAAGCCTCAGTCAGCAGTAACTATTTGACCAGCTCCAATCAGTCTGGAGCAGCATTAGCAACAAGAAAAAGTAAATACAAAAAAATATTTACCTTCCAGCAGACAGGGATGTGAAGGCGGAGTAGTAGAGGTGTAGAAAGGTTAAGGCTGTCACTGCTTTGGGCTCCACACTGAGCTTCTCTGAGATGATCTTCTCCATACGACACAGGTCTGACACGGTGAACTTGCTTTGGCTGATGCGAATAAGCTCATGAGTGGGTGAGACATTGCTTTCCTCCTCAACCATTTTGGCAGCAATGTGAAGACAGCAAACTCCAATACAGGGCAAATGCTTAGGCTGCACCTATCATCAACAGAAATGAGCCAAAATCCAATGAATCAAAGTCAAAGGAGACTAAAGGGCATTAAACATGCACAGTTGCAGTCTTGGCGTTTAACTTGGAATTCTTACTTTCATAATGGTGAGAAATCTATCAAGTAAATTGACAGCTTGAACAAAAGTTTGGGTGCAGTAGCCAAAGAAGCTGGTCAGGCTCCACAGTTCTTCCACTCTGGTGTCTCTGCATTTTGCAGATACTCCGCTGTGATTCTACAAATGTACCACTATATATTAGAAAGGCATCACTGAAAATAGCAGTCATTTTAGCAAACACATATGCCTGCAAACACAGCTTAAAAAAAACCTCCACAAAAACAAAAGTAGGTCAGTGGGCTACCTCTGTGGAGGCAGACTCCATCAACTTCAGGCCAGTCTCCCTGGGAAGAAAGTTGTACTCTGTCGCACAGCATGACTTCAACTCTTTCAAGAGCAAACTGTCAACGTCCTGAAGATCCCTCATCTGGAAAACAACACAGTGTAATATTTGTTTATTATTTTCCATTAAAATCCAAGAGATTGTCAGAGTAACCCTATGTTGACTGTAACTGTTGCCTCCTAAACCACACCTACAGGCTGTCCGGTATCCCTACGAAAAAATAAATAAATAACTAATCTGGTATATAACCTGACGATCGTTACAATATTATAAGTGATTTATTAAGTGAATGCATAAAATATGCCGAAGCACAACTACTAAACCACCACCAAATCGAAATAGATGTAGATATTTGAGCTAAATGACCACTGACCTGAAACTAGGTCACCGGGCTAATCCAAACAGGGAGATGATTTCATATTACAGAGTTAATAGAGCTAGGCTATTTCCTTCTTTTGGGTTTTAGAAATTGTGTTTTGAAAAACAAAAACATCAATAATTGCCAAAAAAAACCCCAAAAAACATTCGGGGGCGTCACCCACACAAAGTACTCCAGCGTAAGCTAACTTAGCTAGCGCTAATCAAGCAGTCGTTTTACCTTGCCCAGGAGCGGAAGGCGTGCAGGATAGTAACAGCTCCGTGACTTCAATTTAGATTTCACTCTTCCATGTTTCCATTTTGATTGGGATGATTGACGAGAAATAATAAAATAAGACCTCGATCACCGTCGAAGAGCGACGACCCCCTCCCCGCCGCCCGTAATAAACAAGCAGCTCCGGACCTGCTGGGGAAAACTACTTTAACCATCATGCATCTCTAGAAACGCAACGTCTTGCCTGTTGGCGTCACAAAGTGGCACAAAAAGGCGCCTGTTGGCGGTGACAGTCGTCGGCAGTACTTATGTTTTGCCTCGTGTTTACGGTCACTTAACCGATAAACTTGCAGTTCATCGGTTCTGACTTTCACATACAAGTCTGTCATTATATTTTAACGGTTACACTCAAAGACCGCTCAACTACGTCGGCCAAATTAGCTACGGATTAGTGATGGCTCTTGTGGCACGGCTCCCAAAGAAGAGCTGGCTCTTTTGGCTCCCAATTGCTCTTAATATATTACCATCTGTAGCCTCATATTTTATCTTTATTTGGCAAATATGATGGGAGTTGGCTCTTCCAATTAGAGCCGATGCTTTTGCGCATGACACGTCACTACCACCGATGCTGTTTCCATGGTGATGAAGCTGCGCGCTCTAGCAACTCGTTAGCAGTTGTCATTTGCAGGTTCTTGTAAATGTCTTAATCAATGACTTGACATAAAAAATGAGATGTCTTCCACGGGGTCCCAGCCCTCTGAGCCCCAGAGCTATAGGCTTTCCATCAATAGTGGCACTAACGTTTTACGATACCATTACACAGCGAAAGATAGAACAGCAACAGCGGCAGGAACTGGAACCGCTGGTAAGCTAAATAAGCAAAGTATTGCCTGTTAGTATGCTAAACTTTGTTTCAGTAACTTGGACGGTTCCTATTTACTTTACAGATCCCCATGATGGCCCTCTTCCGTTGAGATTCAACAGTGTGACACTGGAGGAGCTGAGGTAAGGTTCCTCACCATAACTTAACAGCTTTTGCACTGAAAAAATGACGCGCACTACGTTTTTTGTCCCAAAGATGCTAAAGGACAGACCCAATGAAAGATAAACATTAAAAAAAAGAACTTAGACTTGCTTCTTTCACTCTATTGCACTGTATTGTCAAGATTAAAAATGTCCTGTCTCACAGTGAACTGAAAGGTAGATCATGCATGTGCCACTCTTGGATGGACTGTTATAATTCCTATTAATCCGGCTGTTCTAAAAGCTCCCTGAAAAAGCATCCAAATCATCAAATCGTCATCCAAGTCACAGCAGCAAGAGTATTAACAGGGACTGGAAAGAGAGATCGCATTTGTCCCGTGTTGGCTCCCTGTTGAAGCCAAAATTGAATATCTTAGAGACCTCATAGTACCATATTATCCTAACAGAGCACTTCATTGTAAGACTGCCCTGTCAGGCTTACTTGTGGTTCACTGTGCTTTAAGTAAAGTGGGAGGCAGAGCCTTCAGCTATCCTCTCCTGTGGAGCCAGGTCCTGGTTTTGATGCATGGCAGTCTTCCTCACAGCTTTAACGATTAGGCTTAAAAGATTCTGTTTTGATCAAAGAAAATAAATCAGGCTGTGCTGCAGTGGGTACCATTAGTAAACAAATCTGAACTGAATTCACTGTATGAGTTAGTCTAAGCCTGAGCTTCTATGTATTGACAGTGATGAGCTTGATCGCCGCACCAAAGAAACCCAGAGACTACAAGAAGAGGTGGAAAATGCAACTAAGGTGGTTCTGGAGAGATTTGGCGGCAGCTGTAGGTCACCTGGACAAAGCTGCCATGATATTAAACCTCATATCTGTAAGTACAAGTGTTTCCACACATCTTGTTTATGCCGCTCTAACTTGAAAGATGGGGGGGAAATGTGTTATCTAATGGCTTATTTATTATTGTTTTACAAAATCCAGAGTAGAATAAAATGGCTGAAAACTAAAGGCACAGAAGTACTGAAGCTCAAATTCTTCTAAGCTATTTGGGTCTCAGAAAATGTTTAAATCCAAATAACTAGCATGCATACACAGATATGAAGGGAAAGAATTCAACATAAACAAACACCCTAGCTTAACAGTGACGGTGTACGCTCTGAGTGTTTTAAACATCTGTTGCTGTTTTGGCAGATGACTCTCCTGGAGATTCCTCCTTTCTTCCAACCCACCAGCAGGCAGTGACTCAGCCTTTGGTCTTTGGTCTGGATATTTTAAACCAGGAAGTAGCCCAAAGGGACATCAGCTCTCCTGGAAAGCAGGTGTTAGAAAATGCAATGGATGACTGCCTTCAGCAGCTGTCAGACTTGCAGCTCAACAAGGTTCATATTTTATTGCAGCCATGAAATCTTATGTAATAGTTTGGTCATGTGTGATGTTAATAGCAGAGGAGGGTAGTGCACTCTCTGCATTATGTATCTTTTATGTTTCATCTCCCCAAACACAGACAGTTAATCAAGCTGAACAAGAAACATGCTGTCCTCGGAAAGCCATCACAAACCTGAAAACTGAGCTGCATAAAGTCCAGATGGAGAATGATGCCCTGTCTGACCTGAGGTGAAAACACAGATACAGTTCTACATATATAAAATAAAATGCCTGAATCACTTTGACCCACAAATCTTTTGATTTATAGATTAAAGGATTCGAGGAAACACGTTGATCAGATGGAAAAGATGCTGTGCTTGTTGGAAGAGCTTCAGAAACTCAAAAGGTCGAGGGACAAGAAGCTGCAGGAGATGGAGAATGAGGCGGTCGCGCTTAATAGGAAAGTTGAAACATTGGAGCAGACCATAAAGGAGGTGTATCATACATTGGATGGGAAACAATCTGAGCACTCAGTTACCAGCACTAAACATGAGAATCGCAAAACGCAGCAATTTATTCCTAATAAGGCAAATGTGGATCTCAATGACAAGCTACAGGGGAGGCCTTTTTTGGTAAGTGATAGCATTCACTAGAGTACAATAATGGGTGTATTTTGCAAAAAAAATATGACTCTCATGATTTTTTTCTTTCTGTTTCATATCAGTCAGAAGAACAGATGGGGAACAAGGAATACAGTGGAGCAATTGAACAAGAAAGGTATATCATTTTCCTAACTAATCAGTGAATTCTGTCATTTACTGAATGTCAACAACTGCCCATCACAGATTCTTAGAGCTGGGTTTGTCAAACCTGTTGTACAAAAGCTAAAGATTTTCCATTCACTCACACGAAGTACAAAGTAAAGCAGCAAATTTACATCAAAGAAACAAAGTAAACTTAAAAAGTTGCTGTGCCCTACCTTAACCGTGTAAATAAACCCTGTGCAAAATGTGTCAACTTAGACTGGAACACCTCATTTCAACTCTTGGCCAGGAGATGGCGATGTTGACTGATATACTGAGCTCATCGAAAGACAACAGCTTCAACTTGTGTGCCAAAGTGGAATTGCTCAAGTAAGTGGCTGTCAAAAAATGTCTTCTTTTTATTATTCATCAGATAGTTTGCAGTGATAACTCCCTGCTGGTTTCTGTATTACTGTAAACCTGTCAGACAATATGAGAAGTATTCACTCATGATTTGTATACCCAGAAAACTCACCGTGAGACCGCCCTCACTGCACGAGTATCAGGCCAGAGAATTGGAGTCAACCTATTCCAGCCTTAAAGATAAGGTAAAGATGATGTTGAAAAGATGAAGTTATTAAGTCAGGCAGATATAAATTCGCTTCTCTGAACTGTGCTGCTTGGATGTGGAGAAGCAGCACCAGTAAATGGCCAGTATGTGCGTCTTTTTTCTGTGGTTTGTGAATGTGTTTTGTCATGTTGTAGGTTTGTGGTCTGGAGCAGCAGCTAAGTGAGGCTCAGACGCAGCTCTTGAGTGCTCAGCAAGAAAAAGACAAATCATTGCAACAGGCAATGGAACTTCATTCTCAGCTTAAACAACATAAGGTGTGGTACCACAGTTTTGCTTCTGTGCATAAACTGTTATGTCGGTGTATTAAAGTACAGTGGTTATGCCGGATTAAACTTTGTGTCAAGTTTAGGTAAAATTATGTAATTTATTTAATCTGCTTGTGAAACTTCTTTAGATGTAGGTGGGAGTGGTCAAAGACAATTAGCAAAACCAGAAGGAGGCTTTTTATAAATGGATGGGTTTTAAGGTTACTAAGGCATTATGAACTGAGCCTGTACCACCCCTCTTGTAATAACTAATATTTTCATACTGTTCTTATGTACTGCACCGCCATCTATACAATAGGGCAACAATTTCCTTTATAGCAACTGAAGTTTGAACATCCTGACTGATCAGGTCTTTCTGTAATGCCAACACTAGAAGGCTGGAGTTCATTGTTGCTGTGAGGCAATATGTAAAAAACAATGTAACTGGGCATGCAAATTACAAAGCAACAACACTATCCAAGAGACCTGGGTTTTTTTCTGTCTTAAAGTTAGCCTTTGGGCATTAGCTAAGGATGGAAGCATGATCATTGAGGTAATGAGCCTGTGTTACCTCAGTTAAAAGAAGTCTGTGTATTTTCCTGTTATTTGATAAATAAAATGTGTTGCCAAAGGCTGAGGAAAGGAAATACAGTGTT